CACATTGTTTACTGGCCATATAAATATTTGAAGGCAATTAAATTAAATTACCAAACATTGCTCATTCATAAATTGGAAGGAATATAATCAATCATGTAATACGGTACAATGAGTTCAGATAAAAGTAAAAACAGTAAATAGTGGAGAATCTGAAAAATATTTTTTTATAAAATGAATTGTTAAATTATATTCAATCAAAAAAACTGTTTTACATGTACTACATCTTTAGTTTAAAATTTTTTGAAAAAGAAAAATAGAGAACAAAATTTATTTAAAAATGATGTTATCGAGTCTCAAACCTTGGCTTAGACCTCTGTCATAGCCATGATCCCCAACTGCTCTTATGGAGCTCAGACGATTGCGCATAGTCTTGTCCACCATTTTGGAAAACATGGCTATACATTTGTCTAAAGCCAAGAGCTTTTTCATTCTAACTTCATCTCTAAAAGAAAGCTTCAAAAAATCCAAACCGGAATAGGAAAAAAGAAAACATGGATGCGATCTCAACACAACGAAGTTAAAATCGATAAAGCTTTGGCGGTGAATCCAAAGCTTTGAACATTCATGAATTCTTATTTATTGTCAATAAAGTACAAGGTATTCAACCAAAACCAGTAAAATTGACAGAACAAGGAAGTTACAAAAAAGTTAAAGACACATGCCTCCTCTCCGGTTCCTTTTTCTTCTAACTTCATCCCTAACAAATCTTAAAGAAATTGAAACCAAGACCGAGAAAAGAAGCAAATGGAATTAGAAATCCTATCACGAAAACCCTAGTGATCGATAGCCTTGCAAAACTCTAATCAATATTACACATCTTTAATCAAAGAACCATAGTATAGACATTGGAAATGAGAAAGATCTTCTCTGCTTCACCTTACATAATTAAGTGATCAAAATAATGTTTTAACCATATTCGATGTTTATGTGTGTAAATTAATCATAAATTTGCAACGTACTCCGTTAACACCAAGTCTCTCCGGTTACTTATTACAAAGCTTCAAGAAATCGAAACGGAAATACAAAAATGTTACTGAAAATTGATTTGATTGAAAATGATAGTACAACTTTAGCTGTGAATCAAAAGTTTCCACCTTGAGCATTCATAAACTTTTTTTATTCATTGGAAACATGTAATAATACACTACAAATGTGTTCAGTCAAAACCAGTAATATAGGCCGAGAACATGTAATAATACACTGCAATGTGTTCAGTCAAGCCAAGAGTCTCTTTGATTCCTTTTTCTTCTGCTCCTCATCCCTAACAGATCTTCGAGAAATCGAAATCGAAACCGAGAAGAGAAGAAAACGGAAACAAAATCAACAAATCGAATTGTGTATGGAGGGAAAGATCACTAAATAGCTTAAGTGGAATGGATGTTCTGACCTGAAGGAACAAGCTTTACTTCCTCGAGTGGTCAATCACTGTTCTCCATTGACAGCGCTTTTTTCCCCGTATCGCTATTAGTAAACAAAACCCTGAGTATGGAAGTTATAAAAGTCGGTTTTATCGCTAGCAATCATAAATTAATCATAAATTTGCAACTTACTCCGATTAAAACCAAGTCTCTCCGATTGCTTTTTCTCCTTAACTAACAAAGCTTCAAGAAATCGTAACCGAAATACAAAATGTACTTCAAAATCGATTTGATAGAAAATGATACAACTTGGGTTGCGAATCGTCAAAGTTTCCCCATGAACATTAATAAACTGTTTTTATTCATTGCCAAAGCATGTAATACAGTACAATATGGTCAGTAAAAACCAGTAAAATAGGCACAACAATGAAGTTAAAAAAAAAGGTCAAAACATCTGCATCAAGCCAAAAGTCTCTCTTATTCCTTTTTCTTCTACTTCATCCCTAACGAATCTTCACGAAATCGAAACCGAAAAGAGAAGAAAACGGAAACAAATCAACAAAACAAATTGTGTATTGAGAGATTAATCATTAAATATCTTAAGAGGATTCGATGTGCTGACCTGAAGGAACAAGCTTTACTTCCTCGAGTGGTCAATCACTGTTCTCCATTGACGGCACCTTTTTCCCATATCGCTATTAGAAAACAAAAACCGAGTATGGAAGTTAGAAACCGTACACAAAAGTCGGTTTTGAGTAAAGAAAAATGTAACAAATGTACCTGTTTCCCAAAAGAGAAGGGGACGTATCTGTATTTAATCATATGTTGAATCTGTTTCCTCATAGTGAGGAAGAAAAGCATCACCCAGTAGAAAAGAAGTATCGGCCAGAAAACAGGTACATTGAATACATCGAAGAACGTCATTAGGAACCCGATCACAAAAGCCCTCGTTATTGATAACCTTGCAAAAATCAAAAATTACAAATCTTTATGCAATCTTCTTCATCAAAGAAACCATACTACATACATAGCCATTGAAAACGAGAAGACTTCTCTGCTTCACCATACATTATGAATCAAAATTTGGTTTCTAACATCTTTGAGACTGATATGTGTTGTACTAAAGCAAAAATTGGAGATTATCTCTTTCAATATTTGGTATCTACATTGTCACTCTTACTCAATTCTTGTAAGATGAAATCATAAACAAAGAAGTGATATGGATCCGAGGAACAGTATCAATATCATTCAGATTCCATATTTAGCAAACAACCACTGATGCAAAACCTTCAATTCAAAATGAAACTCTAAATCGAAACCTAAGAGAGTATTAAATGTCACAGTTCAATCTATTGCAAATCAACCAAAGAGATCAAAATTGCAAAGGAATAAGAACGAACCAGAACTTGAATTCGGGAAGACGGCGAACGAATGGTCGGAACTCATCGGATCTACGAGTAGGAAGACTCCCACCGTCGAGAGAAGCTTCTGGATCTTCCTGAGGAGAGAGGAAAGCAATGAGAAGATTCAATATGTAGATTCCGATCGCGTAAGTGATGATGTAGAATCCTTCCACGAAGTAAACGCGAATCGCATAGATCAAGACGACGAATAGGCACGAGATCCAACGGTAGAGAACATGAGGAACAGTTTTATCGAGAAGATGCTGTTGCCGTTGCGACACGGCGTGTGTTAACCGAGCAACAGCTTCTGCCGGAGAAGACGACGGTGATGAGACACCACCGTTCGATTGAAAATCTTCAGAAGCTGCAGCGACGGTGGCTCCGGATTCCATGGCCGCACCACCGTTGA